CAGACATGATGCAAATGTGCTTTCTTTGTCAGCATGATCTCGCAGACTGTTCCTGCCCATGAGCTGAATATACAGGACATATCATGTGAAAGGGAACAACAACAAAAAAGCAGTCTGACCTTGAGGGGACACAATTGGCTTAAAACACACACACTCTTCTGAAAAAAAAAAAAAACACCAAAAAACTAACAGCTGCATATTGTAGTTGCAAGTGGAAAAAAAAAGAAGTGAAAAGAACAAAGATAAGTTTCTCTTTTTCTGCTCGCTGACTTTGCATACTGCATACTGTCCATTTCTCATTCTCCAAATGGACAAATCTCCCCGCTGTTCTTATTGCTCATCCAAACCTGTAGGCAGACAGAACAGCAGCCTAAGCTGGAGAAATGTCCCTGTGAAATTACAACAGCACAAAAGTGGAACTGCTTTGGATCTGAAATGCATGTTCCTTTTTCATGGACTGATAATCCCAAGCTGAGGCACCCCATAAGTCCTTGCCCTGTGGGGAAGCACAGGGCTCCAAGGTACTGAATATCTCATTAAAATGAATGGTTAATAGTCACTGGGAAGGAACATGCTGTAATTGCACGGGTGGCACAATGCAGGATGGTGCACCATGCCATATAACACTCCCCAGAGTCCATCCCTGGGAGATCTGGTCTGGTGATCACAGCAGGAGATGCCTGGTAGAGATGCTATTGATGTGCTCAAGCAGAATGCCAACACTGGGGCTGAACATGGGATCAGGACTGCATTTGCTCGAGCCAGCAGCGCTCTCAAGAGTCTTCTTGGCCATTTTGCTCAGCACTGACCACGTGCCATCACCTGGGGCCAGGCACAAAGTGTGCCAAGTGGGTCCTCGAGCACACTCTAAAGCTTTGGTCCAACCACGAGTTTTGCCATTGGCACTATCACTGTACTCATTTATGGATATGTGGCACATTTGACCTCACTTTTAAAAGATGAGGTTGGTGCCTCCTAAAGGTGTGGGATGCTTGCACTGGCCATGTGTGGTGTCTGTTGCTCCAGTGAGGTAACTCAGTCATCTGCAGCCCTTGCAAATCACAGTCCACTTACTGGTAACAGATTTCATGAAGGTTAGAGCAGCTTTCACGTTCTGATCCTAGTAGAAATCTTCCAAGTGTTTGATCACTGTACCATATCTTTACTGGCTCTCCTCAGGGCTCAGAACAAGGTTTCAAAGATAGATGAGATACCAGTCTGGGAATTCAACCAAAAGGCAGATTTATAGAGGAATTTGCAATCCCTTTGAAAATCAGAGTGGTAGAGCTTTCTCCATTTACTTTCACCAAATCAAATCAAAGAAGCTGAAATTGCAGAGAACTAACTTGAATAAATCCCAGTGCACCCACATCTAAAAGAACAACGAAATCTAACCCGAAACACATCGAGAAACATACATAATTCTGCAAGTACCCTACACTTTCTTTTTTTTTTTTTTTTTTATTAAAAGAGCCTTGCTGCTAGTGCTGCTTCCAGTGTCTGACCAATCTGTGACACACATCTCAGGGCAGAGGATTTTTCCATTAACGCAGCGCTCTGAATGTGCTTGGTTGTTAAACACCACATACACGTCACTAGCGCTCACTTTGAGCCAAAGAACATCTTTGATCACAATCATTTTCTCTCAACTCCAACCATTAATTCTTGTTTCCATTGGATTCTCCGTTTCTCTTAAGTACACAGTATATTCTAGCAGTACATCTTGGGAAAAAAAATGCAGCTGGATAAACAAAACAAAAACACCACAAATTTTCCACTCGATTCAATGAAGAAAAATCAATTTTCAGGCTTCCTGAATCAAGTTTCTGAGGCATCACATGGGAAATCCCTCACCCACAGACAGATTGCTCCTTGTCCCAACAAGAAACATGTTTTCTCCCCCACACTCCTACCACATCTCTGCAATGTCATTTTTAATGCACCTCCTCAAAGTTGCTTGAGTGTACGTAAAACAATAAACAAACGCTTTTTCTTCCATCTGCCAGGTAATGTACTGGAGACATGTTTGCTGCTGCTGAGTGACATCCATCTATTCAAATCCCTTCTGAACCAAAATCAATATTAGCTAGATCCATTACCTCCTGCTTTATTGGCAGTTTGGGTACTTGTTCAGAAAACAGTCCCTCCTAGTAATGTAATAAAGCCCCCACCTTTGAGATAATTAGGTTGTCTGTGATACAGCATCCACTGATGATCATTTCCCTGCTGATTTTGGCCTGTTGCTACAGCTCAGGTTGCAGTCGCCATCACTAAACACTCTTACATCAGACCATCTGAGTCTCACTGCCAAATAATTGCCAAATTTAGATTTATTTATTTATTTACTATCTTACTATTCTATAATAACAGCAAGCAGCCAAACCTCAAAGTGTCATTAACATGCTTTTAAAAATGCACTAAAATGATTTTGTCAATTACCCTGAGATTTAATATCCCAGCCACAACACAGATATCCCTCACTGTAACAACAAATCCCTCCAGGAGTGCACACATGATACCACCATTCCCAGCATTTCCTCTGGATCCTCAGCATAACCCAGAGGCTAATAATTTCAAGCTCTTTCAGAGCAGGGGCAGAAGCAAGCTCCAAAAATGCTATGAACATTCAAACACGGCCTTGCCAACTCTCCTTCCCCCATTAATTTCATTGCTAATAGATGGGAGGACTGTGCTCTGATGCATCCATTTACTCTTCACTTACCTCCCCTGATCTTTTGCTACTGAACTCACTTCACTGCTCTTGGCTTTAACCACTGATGGATAAAGTCCTGCTTTATTAGCTTGTCAGCCTTTAAATGACAGTCTTTTTACCTAACAGGTAAGAATACATGACTTTGCAAGTCCCCCGAGGCATTAGGATCATGCCTAATTATCCCTATGTCTTTAAATAATAGAAGTGGATGACTGATGGGAAATCTGTGTAAGGTATAGAAGGTGAGACAACATTTACTAGTCCTGAACTGAAAAACAGTAGGAGTATTTATTCCCGTTATTAGGCATTTAAAATCAAACCATACCCAGTGGTACTAAATACTTCACTGAAAGAGCAAGGGATGAAGAAAGCTGATGCATAAAGGGAGAGTGGGTTTCTCATTAACAGCACGAATACCAATTGCTTTGATATATTCAAAGAAAAAAGCACCAGGACTCTAAGGGTGGCATTTTCCTCTTCTCATTACACAGGAGCTAGAAGTTCTCCCCTGGCAGTTTCAGGCTGTGTCTCTTGTGGTCACAGTGCCTCCATGGGAGCTTGCTCCAATCATGATTTTTTTGCTGACACACTGCAATTTACTGACTCCCTAAAGTAGCTGATTTTGCTAATATACAACCCCAAATCCATACAGCCTATTAATATATAGCTATTCCATAGGTATTGGATCTGTGTTTAACTTGCCACCATATGGACTGTTCCAGAACTGTAATAAGCTATTTCTCACATACTACCTATAATCCAATCAAACCTTTCAAAACTATTCATGAGCTCAGCAAGCTGTCACAGCCACAGATCAGGTCAACGGTGAGAATAATGTGTAATATTTCATGATGTTGCTGCTGTGCTGAATATTCCTTGCTCAGTGTTACTACCTATTGCCTAGGAAAGGCAGTCCTAAGCCAATCCACCAGTGCAGATAGACTGCCAAACTCTGGGATCCCTGGGAACTATCCCAAAAATCTAGGAGCCAACCTGAGCTTGGATACATGCAGTGTATTACAATCAACAAAATGCTTAATTAATGAATGCTGACATTGTACCTTCCTTGGAACAAAGAGGAAAGCATGGCGCTCTGCCCAAGGAGTTTACAGTCTAAATTATACTGGCAATGCAGATCAGACACACAAGACGTGCAGAGGGAAGGCTGACACTTCATCTTAACCTTTGTTTTTCATAAATACAGATGTAACGGTGGCAGCAGAAAGTAGTCTCTATCCAGGACCCCGTGGCTTTTTTCACCCTCCTGACCACAAGCAATTTACATTACATCTTTTCATCGTCATACTGTCTCTCTATGCATGTATACCTCTTTTTACATCAGGTTCCTTATAATTTAAATCCTAATTTTTGTCAGTAGAACATTTAGTTCTACCAACTCAAAACATCCTCTCCCAAAAGTAGATCATCTCTCCTACTCCCCTCACTTGATCATCCACATCCTTGGTTCAAATATCAAATATCTATCATATTTAGATCAAAAGCTCATCCATCCCACCATGCTAAGGTCTCTATTCATTGACCCACAACTTTGAACATCCTACAGTCTTTGCATGGCTTATAATTTCCTTTTCTGTTCCCATCAAGGTCACAAGAACCTTTCACATAAAATAACACACCCAAAGTGCTTAGACTTTGAGGATGGGGCGTAGAAGGAAAAGTCAGCATTCACAGGTGGTAGGGGTATGGACGAAGTCCTTAGTGCAGAACAAATTAGTACACCATAGGAACTGATCTCCTTGCATAAACTGTAAGAAAATGAAACACACGCAGACTGTAAACATATCACATACGAGTGTAGATCACACATTAAAACTGAGTACCTTCCCACCTCCTAAGCATTCTATTTTTGGAACTAGCATTTTTGGATTTGTTTATCATCCTCTGCCAAAAGCTAGGAATTCATCATCACTCAAGATCCCTCTAGTTTTTCTGTTTCCATTCATTTCTCATTCATTCCCTTTGAAATACTCCCCACTCAGCCAATGTTACTTAATTTTCACTTTTTTTTTTTTTTTAATGGAGGAATTTAAATACATTGAAAAAGAACTAACGATTTCAGACCTAAATAAGTGACACATACAAACTTCTCCTCCCTGCAGTTCAGAAAATTGTATTACTATGCGCAATATTGTCATTATCCTCTCTACTATAACTACTGACACAAAGAACTTGAAATATCACGCTGGTAAAAAGTGGACAGAACTGAAAGAAATGTAACAACAACAACATGAAAACACAGAAGTGAAGATATTTTTAAATCACTTACCCAGCATCAGTGCTATTTCCACACAGTAACACATCTTCTGTACCATTCTTTATGAAGTAGTTTACTGCAAGAGAATTAAAGAAACAGCTTTTTAACTAGTACATTCTGGGAATGATAGCACTACCAAATGTTATTCATCAACCAACGTATTCATTCGGGATGGTAAAAGAGATATGAAAGGCATGGTTTTACTTGTTTGGCTAATTTCAGGAAATGTGAAAACGAAGACATATTTTCAAAGGTTTTGAAACACTTGCTGTTTATATTCCAACCTGACAAGTGCAATAGGGTGGCAGTAGGGTTGTGGGCTCTGTTTGAAGGAAACATCATCTAGCCGTGTCCCTGGCTGTTGTAGTTGAGCACAATGTTACTGAAGTCAGGATAGCAGTGTCCAATGAAAGCAATCCATAAGTTTGTCCCTTTGGACTCGACACTGATGAGATATTTATTAACTGAAGCTTGTGATAGGTTAAAAATGCAACCAAGTCAAGATCTAATAATACAAGCAAAACATCCCATTGCCCCAATCTGGTGAGTTCTAGTCAGCAGAGAAAATGCGCAGTATAAAGCAAAAGAAAATGGAAAAATGCTTGTTGTTAAAGATCAAACAAACAAGGAAATATTCATAAAGACAAATATTTATCAACACAGTCATCTCTAATGTCAATGGAGAGAGACAGACACATCTCGAGGGAGACTCAGAAGAGCATGCAAAATTTAAATGCTCAGGATCGTTCCCTGGTTGACTATCAATGAGGCTTAAGGAAATTAGCATCCCCAGGCTAACGAGAGCCTTTGTGTACATACTCCATCTTCTATCTCCAGCCAGCAAAGCAGTCTAAAATTCAGAGAAACAGAACAGGAAGCCAACTCCTCAAAAGGATAACCAGAATTGGGTTTTGAAGAGATGTTCTAAGGAGCATCGCTTGAACCCGAATGGCAGTATGGAGGAAAGGATAAAAGCATTGATATAGAAAGATCATAAATGCAAAACAGAGGGCAACAGTTGATGGAGGGCAGATGTATGAGTGTACTTTGTTTTAGCAGAGAATACGGATCTCCTGTTGACTTAAGTCATGGTGTCAGCCCTACACAACAAGTGTTTATGAGTCGAGGAGCTCTGCAGATGTTAGTCTGGAGAGGTTCTCCATTCTAGGCTAACACCCTGTTGTGAAATGCTATAAAAATCAAGAGCGACAGCTTATCCAGGCAGGCTATGCAAAGAATGCCACTGAACAGATGTGCTGTGGCTTTCTCAGTAAGCTGCGAGCAGTGGAAAAGCCCTGCCCTGCTGCATGCCAAGAAGGAATTACTGTCCATGAGCTTTGTGGTTTGTGAGGGCACGTGATGGCGTTCAGAAGTCATCAGTGCATACACCCTGCTCAGACTGCATGCTTTTCTGCTTCGCTGTATGTTTGGCGTTTCTACGGAAATATCTGGACTAGCAGCAACACCACTGAGTTCAGCATGGTAAAGGATCTGTGAAAAAACACCAGAAAAGGGGAAAAGGATGTGCAAACTTACATATTGTTTCACTCTGCACTTCTGCCGCTGAAACAATTCTGCTTTTCCCAGGACAGATGGTACCTTATTTGGGACACATGCAGTTGGTGACACAAACACTCTGTGAGTCAGGGGAAACATGGCACAACCACAGAATGAGAGACAAACAACCACAGAAGTTCTGCACCTTGCTAATAAGTGGTATTGCTACATGGGGTCCCCCAAACTTTGCAAGCACGCAAGCTCTCTGGGAATTGCAACATTTCATATTGTGAACACGAAGACCAGGAGGACGCTATACTTGGAAAATTGAAACAATAGGTTGGGTATTAAAAAAACATTTCTTCTCCAAAAGATTGGTGATGTGTTGACAATGGCTGCCCAGGGAGGTGGTGGAGTCACCATCCCTGGAAGTGTTCAAGAAAAATGGAGATGTAGCACTGAGGAGCGGGGTCAGTGGGTATGGGGGGATGGCTGGGGTTGGACTTGGTGATCTTAGTGGTCTCTTCCAACTTTAACAATTCTACAAACACCTCCTGCTGATCTGAACCAGAAGATGCAAACAGCATCAGAGCCCAGAATAAGAACTAAGAACGCGTACGCAAACAAGACATTTAAAATCTCAAGAAGATACAAAATCCTGTTGTCTGTTGTTGACAAACATTTACACTCCCAAAATCAGCAGTGCAGTGAGCGCTAACGCAAAGCATGCTGAGGAATTGGAATGCAGGCACTGCTGGGAGAGGGATCTTCGCCACAGGATCTGCAACTGCGCAGTAGAGCACCACCTCTGTGTGCCAAACTGCAGCCTGAAGAAGAGCTGAATTACTGATTCCCTACTGATAAATGAAGGGGGGATTAGAGCATTATGCCTGAGGAGACAAATTGCTGTATTATCAAAAATGCACACAACAATCAATTTGTCATTCAAAGCAAGTTGGTTTGGATTTCGACCAAACATGCCAGGCAATCAGAGCTCTTTAAGGAGGAAGCAGTCATTGCTCTTGCTCTTAAGAACAAACCACTTTGGTATCATATTAGCCCACGGCCTAAGCTTTCTATCACTTAACTCTAACATGAACAAAGAATATAAACCTCCTTTTTCATTTGCAGTAGGAGCTTATCTATGAAAAGTAGACTGCCCCAACTGATAAACACTTTATGAGAAAAAGACTTTGTCACTGTCTTGGAAGATTCTCATTGATTTTTGTTACAGTTTGTCAGCTTTTTCACTGAAAAACTTCTACATGTCAATAGAAACAAAATATGAAAACAAAACTGATCATACTGTATATTTTTTTTAATGTCTTAAGTAAAATCAAGCCAAAACAAGTCATATTTTCACACATGCTTATATGTAAATAATCTAGATCCAACATGCTGCTGCTGCTTTTTTTTTTTTTTTTTTTTTCAAATAAGCCTCATTTTATTTTTTTCCTCCCAACTTCACTAAAAACTCAGTGTTAGAGTTATGGTGTATGTGAAGTCTTTTTGGAACTTTCCTACAGGAATTTTCAGAGTAAAGTAACTACCTAATCTTATTATCAAAATAATAAAGCCAGTGATCAGAAAACACTCCCTGAGTATTTGTTTCTGCTTGGCCACGCATTATTTATTCCACTGTTGCCAGGTAAACATCTATTTTTAAATAATACAAAACATTTTCTGTCAGCATTTGTAAGTCAGAAATTCAACAGAAACATGTTTCCTAACAACCAGATGCTGTCTTCTCTAAAACATATGTACATTTGTATCAACCCTAAGCCTCATAAAAACATACTAAGATGCCGTATCCCCGCTGCACCTGATGCAGCATTACTCGTGCTAGGTTGGTTTCTCTGCCAATAAATAGGTGCAATACAAACCCTTGCACTGGTGTCATCTTTCCTGGATTGTATTTTAGAAGTGCTGAGCTCAATAAATCAAACCTACAAAAGCGAGTGCTCTGAAGCAGCTTATTACCTTCTGAGTTTCATCTGCATACAAAGGAAAGTGCGATACAGGCCACGGCTTCAGCCAGAGCGGCTCAAACACCATGAATCTGGCCCAGGCCCACATCCCTGGCTATGTACTGGGGGGGAGGAAGCTCATAACCTCACTGCAATGAGTGGTTGTGCCAGCTAGAGGGAATGGAGAAGGAGTTTACCTCCATACTATGGGTCGTCTCTCTTGGCATTGTCGTAATCTAACATTAATATGCTTGTTGCACCAAAGAGTAAACATTCCTCTAGTCTGTTTTCACACAGAGGGTGGTGATGCACTGGAACAGGTTGCCCAAGGAGGCTGTGGATGCTCAATCCCTGCAGGCATTCAAGGCCAGGCTGGATGTGGCTCTGGGCAGCCTGGTCTGCTGGTTGGCGACCCTGCACACAGCAGGGGGTTGGAACTGGATGAGCATTGAGGTCCTTTTCAACCCAGGCCATTCTATGATTCTATTCTCTGTTTTGAGAAAAGAATCGATAACAGTTGCATTGATAACCAATAGTGCACAGCACAGTTACATTATTATTATGGACTACTAATGGTTGTCTTCAGATGTGACATCGGGCCCAGAGAGCAGAACGCTCTGACTGTGGAGTGGGGAAGGTCTGCTCTTCCCCATCACGAGCAAAGGGACCTAGTAATAAATGCAGCCAAAGAAACAATGTCTGTGAATCCAGCCCTGCTAGGAATCTGCTACACTTGTACCCACCTAGAGCAATATAATTTCTCCAGCATTCTCAAAGCTACTGGCTTTCCAGGGATGCCAAGAAGCTTGGTAGGACTCCTAACCATCTCACAACAAAATTAGGAATATTTGTAATTTGATCGTAAATAGTGAGTAAATAGAGAAAATCCTCTAGGTTTCCAATGTTTTCCTTCCAATGTTCTCATACATCTCATCTTTTCTACTATTTTATTCTACACTTTCTCAAAGCTATCAGTCTTTCACATTTCTACATTGGACCCTTCCACACCTGGAAGTTTTAAATATTCACCCTGCCTCCCATTATCAGGAAAAAAAAAAAAAAAAAAAGGCAAATTTTCTGTCAACTTCCTCAACAAAATAATAAGTTAATTAATTCTAATTAAAATTATGCTCCATACCTATATCGCACCACTGAGCAGAAAGCTGCAGGGTAGAAATCTCTCCTCATTTCTCTGTAAAAGGATGAAGAAAGTTTCCAGTTGAGAAAAACTAGGAAGTTCAGCTTAGAAAACACGGTTCCCAAATCCACATTGTGTTCCTTATTTAGCAAACCAGCTGAAATGATATCTTGATCTCTAAGTCATCAGAATTTAAATATATATATATATATAAAATGGTATTTGAACGCTGCTCTTTATGTGAGTGTAATTATATATATATATATTATCACACTTGCGTAAAGAGCAGCGTTCAAATATCATTAGTCACTGCCCAGAGTAGAGTCCTCTGGCTGACTTTCTAACAAAAACGTAGAGAGGTGTCTGTTATCTTGGACTATTTATTGCAGCCATACGGGTGCATGTTGGTTGGAGATTTTCCCTCCATGCTACGACAAGCACGGAGCACTGACAGCCAACAAATAACCAGATCCC